GCGGTTGCTAAGACTGTTAAGTTACATACAGGAAGGAGTCGTGGATGCGCACTGCTGATGAGTAACATACCAGGACGAAACGGTCGTCTTTCAGTGCTTCCAGGTTTCTAATGATGGTCCAACATTCTTCGATTAATGATGTCAAATTTATGATATTATTCTGATTATTATCACGTTTGCCATTTATTATTTATGCTTATCAAGTAAACAGCAACTTCTAATACTTCTGATTGGAAAATTAAGTTCATCCTGTTTCTATATTTCAGTCAAAATCGTGAATCGATATAATTTGGATAACTGTTAAAAACGTGAATTCACTAGTCGGTCGTTTCATTCTCCGTGTAGGGACTCTTAAACAGTGAACATATACGATCTCACAGCCCAAGGTCACAACCAGAACATTTATTCTCGTTTATAAATATCGATGTACACTGGTGAGGAGTCGCGTACCAAGGAAAAAACAACCTCCCAGTGTTTCAAGGTTTTCAATGGTTGTCTAATCTAGATCTGTTCGTGATTTCAATCATATTCACTTATTTCCACAACCTCATAATTACAAATTTCTCTTAGTTAAATTCTTTTCGTTCATTCCTTAATTACAGTAATGCAAACAAATTGCCTATTTTCACGGTATGCACCTATTTAAGAAGCCAGCTGAAAAAAACTATCAACAACCAGTATGTACCACAACAATTTATTCATCAATCTTAAAGTTAAATGCCATCTTAGAAACCTATAGATCCTAGGTTCGATCGCTGGTAGAGTGTGTACTAGGTTTGTTCCAGTGCTCCATGACTTTCATTAGCATCTCAGCTGATAACAATCTGTTATGGGAAAACCCCCCAACTCCCCCCGCCACCTACAAATGACACCAATCTGCACAAATACACCTTTCAACTGAAAATAACAACTAATTAATTTCAAAGAAATAATGATAATTATTTTCGGAAATAAAATAGAATTTATTTCAAGTATAAATAATCATCGGACAAATGATCGTTTACACAAATAATATGATCATCTTTTTTTTCATGTATGTATACGACATGATTAGAAAGAGATCATCAAAGAGAAGAGATGTGAAAATGCAGTTGGATAGTAACATACATACACTTACACAGCTGCACACACACGCACACACACGAATAAATACACATGAAATATCGAATATTTTTAATAAAATAAACTTTTCTATGCACAAGAGTACAAGAAGCAGGACAGAGAGATAGAGAGAGAGGAAGAGGAACAGATCTATCCCAAAAAATAAAAAGATGATCTTTTATGCAGCAGCTATAAATGCTGATTTTTAATGCAATCCAAAGATTGTCAAGTCAAGAAGATTTCTACAGAAAATGTTTGTGATATTATTATTATGCTTATTATTCTACAACTTTGATATTTTGATAATGAATAGATGTGATATTTAAAATGACAGGAAAAGATGTCAGAATGAATAAAAGTGATATTTGATTGTGTTGAGGGAGAAAATAATGATAAATTCACATCTTATTATTACTCATTGACTAAGAAGATATAGTCAACATAAATATTATGCTTAATATTGTGATTATTATTATTATTATTGAAATAATAACCATGAGTGATTAATTACAAACGGTGAATAAGTGGAAGAATACAATGTCATTGATTTCACTAATTTCCACCTTGTTGTTTTGTTTGTTTGTGTTTCGGAATTTCCATTGAGATTTTCTTCAGCATTTGTTCAATCTGTAGCACAATGTAGGAAGTTAATTTCTAAAGTCAAATGGAAGATAAGGATAGATCATCATTAAATTATATGCGTATGAAGATAGTCGATATGCATCAATCAACTGCAAGCTCTGGAGCAGTTGTAGCATGTGGCAGTGGTTCTGTCTTTTACTTCTCTTCATAATAATTTGTGCGCTGTTGTTTATTGAATGTAATTATTCTAGCCAGTCTCGTCACCTGGTGGTTATTACGATAGCTTAATCCCGGTTAAATGGTCGTATGAGGCTTCACTTCCATGTAGGGTAGGAACTTATAGCCTTTCCTTCTAACTTGAATAGGCTAGCAATCATCAACATAGTTCACCTACGTTAGCGGTATATATATATATATATATATATATATATATATATATATAACTAGCAGTCGAACTCAGAAAGACCGATTCATTCTTCTCGCGACTGGTCAGATGGATTCATCTACATACCAGAGTTGATGTTCACCCTAGACATTCGAATCCGGTATAGTAAGGTTATCTTCTCTGTTGTTGCAGTGAAGTAAGATTCAATTCATTTGTAATAAGCACAAAAAGCGCCTGCTCAAGTCCTATTACTACTATTACTATTACTATTACTACTACTACTACTACTACTACTACTACTACTACTACTACTACTACTACTACTACTACTACTACTACTACTACTACTACTACTACTACTACTACTACTACTACTACTACTACTACTACTACTACTACTACTACTACTACTACTACTACTACTACCGTAGTGAAGTAGAACACAGGTGGGGCAACCGAATTGTATTTACGAAAATTACAGGGTTACTCAGTAAAATCCGAAAACCATATCGTAAATCGTTAATTTGCAAAATATCAATCCATAATATCGAACTAGACTGTTCCTGTTGCAAAACATCAATCCATTGTCACTGTACATGCGTTTCATACAAATTCCATTGTTTTCTAACTCTTCCTTTCTTGATCTTCCCCCATTTTCTGCTGCCAGACATTACGTTTACACTCGCGTCATATACTACTTATAAGTAGCGCGCACCACACTACTACTACTACTACGATTACTTCTACTAATCCACATCTATCATTGATGATATATTTATAATCTCTTTATTTTTTTTCTAAAATCAATACTAAGTCAAATAAAAACACACCAAAAGTAATCTAGTCATGTTCATAACAAAACTAATTTCCCGCTAAATTCTTAATCTATTCATCATCATTTTTTTAAAATCTTATTTTTAAAAGCTCATCATTCATTATTTTACATGAACATTACCATCATACATACATGTATGCATGATTATCATCTTTTACAATATACATGTTATATGTGGATTATTCTTTCATTTCTACTCTAATCATATACAACAATGAATAAATAATCGTATCCGTTTAAATCATTCTATAAAGGGGTCAAAACAAAGTTAAAATGGAACTCTTCTAAGATAAATGGGGCAAACATTCATTCACAATAACCAAATGACAATCATGATAATAGTAATGATTGTAATCATGATGGAAGAAGTAGGGTGGTACAAAGGATTATAGGGAATAACTTAAAAGATATTTCCTTCAGTCGTTATACCATAATTCCCCCCAAAAAAATACCAATCAGTATAAAACATTTTTCGGGTGAGGTGGGGTTGGCTGCCGGAGGAGACTTGTTTACAAGCCCTATATTCAGTTTCACATTATTTTAAAGGATGTTTGATGTTTTTTCGTTGTGGTTGAGGGAAAATATGATCCTATTATCATTATTATTATTATTATTATTATTATTATTATTATTATTATTATTGTTATTTGAAGGATTGAAAGAAGTAAAACACCGGACCAACAACAACTTAATCCATCTAGAGTTTATTGATGAATATAATAAGAGTTGCATAGATGTTTTTTTGCTGTAAGTAATGATTAAAGGCGGAGGTGGGTGGCAAAGAAGTGATTCTGTTGTTACTGTTGAGGATTGTAGAAGTGTAACAAAGAGAGATAGCCAGTTCTTTGATATTGTCAGTAAAAATATTCACATGTGTTGATACTTTCAACAAGTAAAGACGCACACACACGCACACACACACACGCATACATCATTTGTCTACTGAATAACTTTGACCGATAGCAAACATTTTAACCGATCTTACTACATGCAACTAACAATTTTGTGAGCATGTAGTCGTATAACGAATTATTGTTATTGCGTATGTATATATGTATATGTGGAGGAATCAACGACAAGACAATAAATCCGGAAACCATATACAAAAAACTCATGATTACCGTTTTTCTACGTTTCGGATCTTTTTAACTACTACCATTAATGTTATGATAAACATTGAAGATGAAATCGATTGGTACATAAAAGTTACTTTCCAAAGTGTACATATACATGTATGCTGAATGAAAATTATGGATAAACCACTCATACTACTTTTTAAGAAACAGCTGTTTCGTTCTAATGTTATACTTGTCAACAGTGTGCATTCACTACCTTACCCATAGGAACCGACCCAAGAACCTTCAGTCCCACAAGTGAGCACTTAATCTTTATACTGTCGACTACTAAGTATTTTCTATAACGATTTGGATATTTCTACGACTTATTACATAGGGATTATCTGTAGTGTGTTGATTGTTTTAAAAATAGTCGACTACTGTAGATCCCATGATGAATTCATCTCGAAATTACTTACTTACTTACGTCTGTCACCTCCAGTGGAGCATGAGCCCCCAACCTGTGTTCGCCAACCCACTCTGTCCTGGACTACCCTTTCCAGTTCGTTCAATTTTTGTTCATTCTTCTCATATCTTTCTCTATTTCTCGGCGTAATGTGTTCTTTGGCCTTCCTCTTTTCCTGTGACACCGTTGGGTATTTTCCGCAATGTGTGTCCTATCCACTTCCACAGCTTCTTTATGATTTCCTCCTCCACTAGAATCTGGTTTGTTCTTTGCCACTATAGACTTTTGATGGTGGTGTCTGGTCTGAGGATGTGAAGTATTTTGCGTAAGGATTGATCAGTTGACCTTGAGAATACATTTCCACCTGGAAAATATTTGACTGTTATTGGTTGATGTATTATTTTAGTACGCTATTTTGTGGCTCTCCCAACGACGTTTGTATCATGTATAAATCAGCTCGATTTGTGTGCTTGAGTTCATTATATTTTCTGGGTGCTTGTTGAATACACTTCTGCGTCTTGTCAAGATTTCCTCCTCTACTTAATGGGGCCTTGGGACGCTCGAATTAGAATAGCCTATCGTGTCACTGAATCACTGGTGTTCGTTCGTTTTACTGACTGAGGTGAACTCGTAATAGTTTGAAGCATATCGACTGGCGAGCATAATACAATCTAAGGTGTTCGAGACATAATCCAAAGGGAATGGTCCCGATTAAAAATGTGACAATAAAATAAAACGTTTTTTCGGTTTTTTACTTGACTAGTACACCAATCAGTGTGTTCATTGACATCGCATGTTTCGATAGGAAAACTAGTTCGTATTGATGATGTAATGGACAGTTGAAACTACTTACATCAAAGCGAAAAGAATATATATATATTGACAGAAAGCGTAGGTCAACTCTCAACAGATTCAAAATTATTACACATAAAATCTTACCTTGATAAATGACAGGATAGAACATGGCTGGTTATAAGAGTAGTTAATTATTGTTGAGAATTTTCATGATCTCTTCTTTGAATCAATGTTTCAATTGTATGACATATTTGTTTAGCCTTGGATTTAAAAAAAAAGGAGGATGATTAGAGTGTATATGTATGATGGAGTCTAAAGGGATATATGTATTTATAAGGCCTAGATTCGACCCATGCAATGGATGGTGGATTTCGACTGATAAATAATCCCATAATAGAATGAAACTGTCAATCAGTCTTTCCTTGTTTTAAAAGGTAAATAAGATTCAATGATCTGAATCAATTCTTGACAATTGTTATCTACAAAACTTCTTGTCATAACTTGTAGGGCACATCAACTTTTTTTGCGTTAAAAAGTAATTCCGCTTGTGATAATTCTCCTGTCTGTTTTCGTTGTTCATAATATTAGTGCCTACAAATACATTTGAGTTCGCTTATAATTAATTTGGTTAATCCCTTTCGATTAATTTATTTAACCAAGCCATTTTTCGTATAGCAACAACTTTTATGTGTACCATTGATTTTTACTATTGTCTGGTTTGTATGATCTGGTCAAGACTGAACATTGCTTACTGCCTACGCTCATATTCATCCTATTCGCTTTAATGTTAATCTCTTAAATATCTCGATGACTCAAATATTTCCATATGTGTATATACGGACATTAGTTCATTCACCAATTCGCCAACTTGATTGCCAGTATGCTTGCCCTTGCTCTATTTGTTTGTAGTCTGCTAGGCCATTTTGTGGTGTGTCAAAAGTGAACGTATTCAACTCCTCGTGTTTGCCTTCCGATTTATAACCATCAGGCTCTATTCGGTCACAATTGCCTAAACCAGCAAATTACGAAGACTAAAAACACATTGAATATCAACTGTCACGAAACTAATGATATATTGGCCACCACAATAATAACTCTAGAAGTTAAACGATTCATCTTCCTTATTATTTTACCTTTTATCGCCTCCACGTTATTGCATCTTTTGTTTCTGGTAGCAAAACCTATCAAGACCTAAAAGAGATGACTTAGTATGAACTAAAATGTTTATGACACCGATTAGCGTGTTCTCATCATTAAAGAAGAAATAGTAGCTGAATCAAGATAGAATACGAAAGCCATCATTATGATATTATATAATTATCACGTTACGCAACTACTCGATGAGTCATGATGAAAAACTAATTGGAAGGGAATTTTTTCTCAATATTTATTTTCTCTGTTAAATGGTAAAATGGGACTTTTCATTAAAATAGCCAGCTCAGTAGTGACTTAACTTCAGATGAGTTCCTAAAATTCTACCAGGAGATTTTGGCCTGTGAAGTTCCGACAGGTTAAACATTCAAACAGTTGTTACTGATGTCAGTTCAGTGAATGATCATTGTTGTATTTAAAAATCAAGTGTTCACCGCGAGCTCTAGGTCCGGGCTTTTGAGAACTCCCTTTAGTAAGACGAAAAGGTTGTCTAGTTTTCAAATCTATTCCAAATCAAACCAGCACTTTCTACCAATTAAAAAAATCCTCTCATAAATGTTGAATAAATGCATACAAATGAATATTATACCGTTCGGAAAAAAAGACATTATCATTCCTATAGATTTCAACATGCTGTAAGGAGCAGACATTTTTCGTCAAAGATGAAACCAATAAAACGTTGCATGCATATCGTTTTGTGCAATCATTACATATTATTAGTTTTAGTGGTATTTTCATGCACGCTTGCATTAACTTACTAACTGTTTCAACTTTCCTAAATTATCGTTAATCGTATTGTTTGACTGTTGTTGAACAGGAAATGCAATATGCACCAATAAAAATTTCGATTTCTGATCATTTGTGGCAGTCTATTAAAACACAGATCATTGTGGTTCAATGATCAATGTTAGCGAATTTGTAATTCATGGATTCAATAATCCTAATGAAGTGAACATTTGAAAAAGTTGAATGTCACAACAAAATAATGTTAGATCTATGAAATGGTAAATTTAATTTTAACAGAAAATAATTCAACAATTCATTATGAATTTCAGAGGTTACTAGACTGATAAATATCAATATTTCCCTACATGTAAATAGTATCTATATATACATATTCCTTTTATTTCTCACCTTATCACAACGAATTTGTAACAATGAAAATTGATCACAACTTGTTTGTTCAACATTAAATTTTATAGAGATTGTTGAATCATTCAATGACAAGTCAATCAGCTGATCATAATTCAATTTTTTGATAATTTCACCAGATAAATTACGAATTGTTAAACAATTACCAAAAATCTGAAAGAAAGAATAAAAACGTTTAGTTTGTGTTGTCAACGGAATTGCACGATGATTAAAAATTTTTTTAACGTTATGGTCAGTCGCACATCGATGCGATGGAAAAATGATTACAGAAATTCGAAAATCGATTGAAACTAGAGACGTTGGAGCATTGTTAGCTGGCTGTCTAAGTTGTCTGAAATATAAACGATTACAGCTATGGTATGTAGCAGGTCAAGCATTCTATTTCTGGTAGGACGAAACCGAAGTTTATTTATCCTACGTTTGATCATTGTCTATGATGCGAACTATACAGTTTGTTATCCTTTAGGGTCAGTTTTGATCATACCGTTTGAGTAGACCCTTATAACAGAAAAAATATATTGTTCGTTCAGTTGTTCAAATATATTTAGGACATGTGCATTTCAAGCTTCAGATATCATCAGCAGCAATCTATTGCAGGAGAAGAGAAACCAGATTCCAGTTGAGGAAAAAATAGGAATTCGGCAACAGCCCCGAATTAGTTTTTCTGGTTAGCGCTTTTTTGGCAAGTTAACCAGAAAAACTAATTTGGGGATGTTGCCGGATTCCTCTGCAGCATTAGGTCTCAACATACATAAAGGAAAAAGCAAAATTCTCCGATGCAACACAACACGCACCGACCAAATCACTCTTGATGGAGATGCCTTGGAGGATGTTGACACCTTTACATATGTGGGCAGCGTCATCGACAATCAAGGTGGATCGGATGCAGATGTGAGGGCGCGGATTGGCGAAGAAAGGGCTGCATTTCTACAGTTGAAAAATATCTGCAACTCCAAACAACTTTCAACCAAAACCAAAATCATGATTTTCAATACAAATGTCAAGACAGTTCAACTGTATGGAGCGGAAACTTGCAGAACTACGAAAGGCATCATTCAGAAGATACAAGTGTTTATTAACAGCTGTCTACGCAAAATACTTCGTATTCGTTGGCCAGACACGATCAGCAACAACGAACTGTGGGAGAGAACAAACCAGATTCCAGTGGAGTTGGAAATCAGGAGGAAGCGGTGGAAGTGGAAAGGACACACATTACGGAAAGCACCTAATTGCGTCACAAGACAAGCCCTCACATGGAACCCTCAAGGCAAAAGGAAAAGAGGAAGGCCAAAGAACACACTACGCCAAGAAATAGAGAAAGATATGAGAAGAACGAACAAACATTGGAGAGAACTGGAGAGGGAAGCCCAGGACAGAGTTGGTTGGAGAAAACTGGTGGGCGGTCTATGCTCCATTTGAGGTAACAGGCGTAAGTAAATAAGTAAGTAACAGCCCCGAAGGTTCGACTGGCAGAGTTTCAAACAAGATTAGTCTGTGAAAAATATTGACTGTTAACTTTTTTTTTAAATGAATCATCAACAATTCCGTATGTTTATACTTTTAAACTTACTTCTAAAATATTTGCTTCTTTCAATACATTGTCTACTATTTCAATTTCATAAGATTGAAATACTTTTAATCTAGTCATTAAAGGCAGTAAATCAATCGAATTGCCATCCTTATAACATAAAAGAAAGAAACAAAGAAGTAGAAAAGTGAACATTTTTAAATATGAGTAGTTAACAATCGTGAATTAAAACTAGAATAATCAATAAAAAAGAATGAATCAACAAGTTCCGGACTAGTGTCATTCTCTTAATGAGAAAGAATTCTGATGAGTACAATTGGGTGAATCGAACTCTATATTACATAACATAAAATATATTGTCCAATATTCAAGAACTGTAAATTGAGTTAATGATCAAAAACTTCTTTATAAGGAATAACAATTTTGAAACTCATTGTAAGCAGTGAAGAAGTTATGAATCGATAACTGTTAGACCATCATTAGAAATCTGAAGGCACTGGACGGCCGTTCCTTCAAGGTATGAGACTCGCTAACAGTACGCATACACGATCCGCTCGCATCAGAATGGAACCTAAGAAATTCGGTCTCACATGCAAACACTGAACCTCTAGACCACCAAGCTGGCATCTAAAAGTATTCATGTCTAACTTGGATAAATATTTGACATCATACAACTTTACCCATTGTCTTCGGTAGATAGCTGTCTGCACCCGACAGGGTTGAACTTCACTGGTCAAGTTGTCTCACTCTGAGAATTTCCTTACGAAGCTAGTCACATTTTATGATTTTTCATTAAAGAGTCATTGAGATTATTTAGTCTCATCGTACAACGAATCAGTTCATAATTTCAATGAAAAATCATTGTGAAAAAATCCTCTGTTCACTAATGAATTTGTCATCTATTAAACTCATTGATTTATGTTCAGGAAGCTGAAGAAAATGTGATCAGAAAACACAGAGAATTCTCTGTATTTATCGACACCTTTGTAAAGTTAACCAGTTGGCATGAAATTTCTTATTCAATTCCACATTATGTAATCGTTATGAAAATGTAAGCAGCAGATTAGAATCCGCGAGATAAAATTGAACTCATGTCATTCTGTATCAACCGTTATTGTTATTTTATTCAAATACATAATTGGAATGGTTACTTTAATTCATCACGCTTTAACATCTAGGCTATTGCTTTTATTCAGAGACTCGTGAAATTAATTGTTTTTGCAGTACAGAGTTATAAGATTTGTTTTGCTTAAAATGTAAGCATACAAGTGAGTCAAAATGGAAACACCTGTAGTGAAGGAGAACACAGGTGAGGGCAACCGAGTTGTATTAATCGCAAATTACAGAGTTACTCAGTAAAATAGGAAAACCATATCGTAAACGGTTAATTTGCAAATCTTCAATCAATCATCAATCCATTGTCTGACATTTCACTATTCATGTGTTTCATACAAATTCCATTGTGTTCCCACTCTTCCTTTCTTGATCTTCCCCCATCTTCTGCTGCCAGACATTACGTTTACACTCACGTCATATACTACTTATAAGTAGCGCGCACCACACACAAAAAAGTTCATAAAAATCATTCATATATATATATATATATATATATATATATATATATATTCATTATAGTAGAGTTTCATTCTCTGAGCTGCATGTTTTGGTTGTGGAGCTTTCATTGTTGTTCTTCTAAACATCATCAGCACAAACTTCAGATAAAGGAAGTCAAGTATTCGAATTTTGTTAACTGATATGATCTGTAGGTAGTTCTGTTAACCTCGATCTTGATCGGTTGTTAATGACCTTAAACCTATCGTTGTTTGCACCTTTATTTTCATTATATCCCTCTTTGATCTGTTTCTTGATCCTGATTAGTTGATAAATCGGATCAATGTGTTCGTTGATTGTTGATTGATTGACCTGAGAACCAAGCTTCTAAATATTCTCTGGTGTTATTTGTGCTTCGCTCCTATCTATTACTGGATAGAACAAGCTACGAGTCACACATGTGGACAAACTCCAATACTTCGCTTCTCCTACCTGAAGTTTGTGCTGATGATGTTGTTGTTCAGAGAAAGAATAACATTGAAAGCTCCACAACCAAAACAGTATCGAACTTACAGAACCAAACTACTCCACCACAATCATTCACCTAAGCTACAAATTTTTTCCACCATCTCAATATATATAAATCTATACTTTAAATAAAAAACGGCTGAATGAGACAAAACTTTTAAAATTCAATAGCAACTTACCAAATATTTAATATTATCCAATAAATGACTAATTGTAGCCGCAAAATACGAACCAATACGACATCTTGCCAATAATCGACGTACATGACTGATTAGTACATTTTTATCAACATGCATTAAAATCATATAAGCTGTAAGATTATACAAGCATAATGCTAATAAACGATCTTCTTTTAATAAAACAATACGTTTTTGTATTGTATTCATGTTCGCGAATTGTTCAAGCATTTCTGTTGGTGATTGATCTAGACCTGCGAAGTGACAGAAATCAATAGGTCATATGAAGAAAACAGAAATGCCAATTAAAATTCATAGAATAACCACATCTAAGACAAAGTGAGAGTGGATTTTTTAAATGAAGTTTGAATATGTCATGTACAAACATATTCCTCATCATTTATAGCTGAAACGACGTTTCAACAAGTACGACCAACAAATACCTTATGCATGGTGGATACGAAGGCCATGTTTCAAGTGCTTCGAAGAAAACCAATAAAGAAGTTGTTTACCTTACTTCTGAAGACCATTTTATTTGACTTGTTTGTATAACACATTGAAATCATCAACCAATCATTGTTAGACTACCATTAGAAACCTAAAAGCATTGGATGGCCGTTTCGTCCTGCTATGAGACTCATCAGCAGTGCGCATTCACGACTCCCGCAGCTCGCGGGGTTCGAACTCATGGCGTTCGGTCTTGCACGCGAGCACCTAACCTCTGGATCACTAAGCTGACATCCAACGGTGTTAATGTCTAATTCTGATCAGTCCAGGGAATTTGCATGACTTCACTCATTTGTCCTCAGTAGTCGCTACCCACACCCGACAGTGATGAACTCCACGCGTAATGGTTTCTGACTAGAACTCTGAGAATTTCCTCACAAAGCTTGTCACTTGTGAACACGTTGTATGATTTTGTGCATAATATGTAATTATCGGTAAACTGAATAAATCCAATCTACAATGAGCATGGACTACAACTCCAATACTTTTGAATATATAGATAACGCAACCTCATGAACTTAAAGTATGTT